TTGGCATGTAAAAATAATTATCTACGAATTATTTAGTGATACATTGTTACAGCAATATATCGATACAACCGGCATGCAAGGTTAGCAATGCGAGCCTTTTGCCAGCAGGAATGACAAAAACCATTCCTTTATCATGTGAACATCGCAGGAAAATGGCTTCTCTCCGTGTGTGTTTCGGGGTAGGAGATGCAAAAGAGACTGCATAATTGAGCATGAGGATGAAAGAAAACTAGAAGTTCCAGCTTTAAACTTTTGACCACTGCTTCTCATCATCTCATGAGTCCTCACTGCCGACATCCCCCCAACGAACATTATGCTTTGCAGCAAGATAATGCGCACCAACTGGTCCTCTGCTACCGTAAGGGTAGAGCTCGGGGACTATCTTCTTTTCCTCGAGCTCCTTAAGTAGTTGAGTGAATAATGCCCAAGCAGCATCTAGCTCATCGCTTCTTATGAATAATCTACGCTCTCCTTCTATTGCATCCAAAAGTAACCTCTCATATGCATCCGGTATTTCCCTAGGATACCTACGCATTACAGAAGAATCTCGGTCAGTTTTTTAAAGAAAACAGTAAATCTCAGGCATGATGTAGAAGCATGGCTGAACTCAACATTGTGACTATCCTTCGTCATCAATCTCTCATTTCGCCTCTTAAATAGCAATGTCGCATTCAAACCAAAGTCTCTAAGGCATGCAAACAGTGGAAAAAGAAAACAGAATGATATAACTGCTTCCTATTAATCTTGCTAGATGACTTCTGGTAATTGATCCACACTGATGGGATCAAATGGATCAGATAGCAGTTGTGTAAATTTGTGCCATACATATAGCATCTGCACGTTTGTAAAGGAAATGCTGTTTAGCAGTTTTATGGGCTCAATACCTTGCTTTGAAAAGCAGATTGAGGTCACTGCGATCCAATCTCATTCCAAGACCAGGAACTTTATTGTTGATCTTCAGATATATAGCTTCATCAGGTTGTACACGAAGCACCAGCTCATTTGTTGCCTTATCTAAATCAGTTCCAAATTTTCTTTTGTACAGGTTTCCAGGGACGTGTCTGAATTGAACTCTTATCTCTGCCCTGGAATTTCGCAAGCAGCAATTCAAGGTCTTTCAGATTGTAATTACTAATGAGTGAGTGTGCAGGTCAGTGAGAGAGAGAGAGAGAGAGAGAGAGAGAGAGAGGTTGTGATTACCTCTTAGTGTGGAGACCCTTGCCAGCTTTCATAAGGAATGGAACTCCATCCCATCTGGCATTGTTTATAAAAAGAGCTGCAGCGGCAAATGTCGGTGTGAGACTATCCTTCGGCACAGTTGGGTCATCTGTATACCCAGGAAGAGATTTACCACCCTTACTGTGGCCCTTGTATTGGCCCACAATTACATCTTCCAGTTGTAGTGGTCTCATTGACCTTAACACTTTCACCTATTCAAGAACCAGAAACACTCCGTTAAAATATCCTTTTTACAATCGCAGTGTTGCAAGGGAAGCCCTGTTCCCCAAATGAGAAAGGGCGGACCCTTTTTGCTTATTACTCATGTAATATAGGAATGTATCTTCTGGAAAGGCAATATGAAAGACAAGCCACATCAGCAAACAACTAAAACAGGTTATAACGTAGTAGCTCTCTCAGCACCTTCTCATTCCTAATGTCTTCAGCATCTAAGCTGACAGGTGTCTCCATTGCAAAGAGTGCCAATATTTGCAGCAGATGATTTTGCATTATATCCCGTATTATACCATAATGGTCGAAATAACTGATGACAAGAAGAGAGGTATAGAATTAGTAACTTCTTATTTTGAGAGGACGTCCCAGAAAGAAGAGTATCAGCAGTGGATCTATGAAACTCACCCTCCACGTCCTTCTGTACCAAAATCTTCTGAAAATATCAGCTGCACATTGCGAATGTAGTTCCGAGACCATAATGGCTCAAAAACCAGATTGGAAAATCGGAGAACTGACAGGTTCTCGACGAGTTCCTTCCCCAAGTAATGATCAATCCTAAATAATCACGAGCTCAAGCTTCTGGTTACAACCAAGTTCTCGCTCGAAAATAGACAAAAAAAGCAACCACATAGATAGAAGGTACCTAAATATTTGGTCCTCATTCAGGTATTGCTTCAAACATCTAGTCAGCTCACCAGATGATTCTGAGTCACGGCCAAATGGCTTTTCAACAATGACCCTGGTCCATCCACTTGTCGAAGAAGCTGTAATGCTAGCACATCTCACCACATCCACGAATATATTTGGAGGTATCGATAGGTAAAATAACCGATTGGCCAATTTTCCAGCCTGAAGGAGCAATTTGAGACATGATAATGATGAGGAAAGAAACAACATTAAATTCACTTGCCAGCTACAATTCACGTCTTAAAATTAATATGTCGCATATGCGTTTGTTTTTCATAAAACACAAAATTTCAAACCTGACTTAAGATAATTAGCAGCCCCTACAAATCAGCTTATTGGAACCGGAAACGAAGTACCACGATTAGAATCCACAACATTTAGATTCAGAACAGGGAACCATCACCTCCTTCTCTTTTAGCTTAATGTCCAATTCTCTGAAGTTCTCCTCCGAATTATACTGACCGGAATGGTAAAAGCATCTCTTTAGGAACTGAGTCATTTTATCTTCACAATTTTCTCTGCAAAAATCCACATGGAAATAGATTAAAAAAGAACCAAGAAAAAAGTAATTAGATTTAGCATTCCATGAAAATAGCAACACAAAAGGTACCTCTTATCAATTCTACAAGTCAGTGTTCTGCTAATCATCGTCCTCAACTCCTCGTCGGTCATTTTAGTCCGGGCGTAACCAAACACCGTGAAATTCTGCAGCAACCCAATACCCTTTTTACATCGGACGTTGCTGCATACCTGACAAAACTACATGAATCTACCTTGCACTAAAATTATTCGAGAATGTAAGATCAAGACCTTCGGTAGAAAATCTTCATAAAAGAGCGCGAAGATGGCCGGAAAAATCTTCTTTTTCGCAAGGTCCCCGGAAGCTCCAACCACGGTAATGCTATAAGTTAATTCAGACTTCTCTGATTCTGAATTAACAGGAGACAAACCATCCTGCACATTAGCCTTGAAGTGTTCTTTGGCAAGAGAGCTTTCTGCAAAACCATACTCCAGAAACACCACAAAGATTGCAACTTTACTCGACAAATCGCTGGAAATGTTCAGCCTCCAGGGGATTCAAGAACTCACCGTCGTGCAAAGAAACAGAGCTTGGCGAATGCCCATTTGAGGATTTGAGCTGGAAACTCTTTCTGGAGCTATTTCTTGATCGAATCCGCGAAACCCATGAAGGCTCCTGCGTTCTTCTCGGCAAAACAAGAAACTTATCCAGACTTTTGTGGAGCTCCGATGAAGAAGCGTGTGAGAGGGATATTGCCGAAGCTGAAGAAGAAGAACAGGGACTCATGTGTCTGGCCATGGAACAGGGTAAGCAAGAAAGCAAGATCAGTGCAGAACACGGCGAGTGTACATTTGAGTTCGTGTCGGATCAAGTGGATAAAGAAGATATTTTCTTGAGGACAAAAGTCCTTTGGCTGTCTTTCATGCGAAAAGTCATGTTGCTCTTAAACATCTCGAAGGGGCCAATTAGATCGAAGTCAAATGGTAATCTAATCATTCATCCAGCCATAGATTTATCTATGGTTTAATACGACGAAAAATTATAAATTAATGAATTTATCATAAATTTATTTAAAATTAAATTATAAATTAGTATATTTGTGACAAATTTACCCTCTGTTAGTTTTCGTTAAATTTTACCATCAAATTTTTAAGTTGGATGACATATAACAGTTGATAAATGTATCAATTTAGGTATAACAGTTTGTGATTTTTCGTGATATTAATATAATTTAACATATGATAAATTTGTCACGAATGTATTAGTATGTGGTAAATTATCACAAACTTACTCGTTTAGAGTTTTTTGTGGTAAAAAAATTAATTTAAAGTAAATTTATTACAGATGTACCAGTTCAGAATTTTTAGTGATATTAACCATTTTTTTTTCAGATAAATCATGAGTTTGTGGTGGTCAGGTCTTTATTGAAGAAAAGAATAATTGCTGGGAGATTTTTCAATAAATTCTTGATAACATTGATGTACTGATTGACTTGATGCATCGCTTATTCGTTTTGAGATAATAGAGAGAAAAACTTTTTAGCTTCTTCTTTTTCGCCCTTTTTTCGATCATTTTTACTCAAATTTTTCCAACAGGACTATGATGCGGTAAATCTATGCGTATTCGGATGTTTGTTGGTTCAATCGAAAGTTTAGATTAAATTCACTTGATGACTCCACGTTTGCCACCATCGAAGGGTCCTTCTAAGGAAGTTAAGGTAGCCTGTTGATGCACAATACCATCTGGATTGCCCTGTAATGAGCCGAAAGAGGAACCTCTTGTGTTAATTTTCCGCTTAGAAGCTGAATCTACTCTCTTTCGAAGTCGAGCATTCGCCGATCCCCTGGCCCTTAATGACAAAAAACCTCCACCCGAAACGTGCAAGTGTCGTCGACAAGGTACCCGTTCGATGGGTCTCGGAATGCCCCATCAGGACTACAGTAATCTACCTCAGTTAATACTTCATAATAGTAAATTTTATTTCTGTCATCGTCAGTAAGATATCTAATTGATCATAATTTTCCTGCACTCTTTGCGCAACCTTTGTGTCCGTAATTTCGTTATTCATCATCCGTAATTTTCCTTTAACGTGCATAAGTTATGACAGAAAACCGATTTTGCAAAACAAATACGATGGACCGTCTTTTTTCCCGAAGATACTCATTGAATGCGGGACCAATCCCGTATAAACGCTTACGGGCCCATAGAATTTCCCCAATTCCCCAACTTCTAATTGTGAAGCAACTTATAGCGTTAACAGACAACAAAAATGACAAAATCTTGTTTTCTAAGAGAAACTCTACATTACACCTTGTTAGCTCTTAAGCCAGGATAACAGATCATGAACTCCTGAAGATGTGTGACCCACAGTGCAACCAGCGATCATTTTGAAATAAGTTAGTCTTGATGCGGCTCGAGATAATTGTTTGTAATCAGATGCGGAGCATGTGACAGCAAAAGGACACCGCGAAAGGGAGCTGCAATTGGATGTTTGTTCCCAGGAAATCTTCCTAAAGTCGGAATTGGCTGTCAATTTTGGTGAACGCGAGCTAGTAAGAGAGAGTAGGTTCGACAATTCGTCTATGCTAGAGGAACTCATGAATTAAAAGAGAGCAAAGCATCGATCAACTAGTAGCAAAAAAGCAGTTCGACAAGTTTTACTGGCTTAAAACTACTAGTGGTACGTGGAGGAAACAATGATAGGAACCGCCGCCTCATCATGAGCTCAAACCCAATTATCAGGGCAGTTGTCTGGCTGTGCCAAGGCTGGTGACTTCGGCCTCAATGATACAGTGATCGTCCACAAGGGAATCTTGAATCTTTTTCAGGGACGCATAACAAGGCCAACCCCACGAAGTGGTTGAACGACTGAACCAATTCGAACCTGCAAGGCGCACATTGATAGTCACGTTAAGACAAATGTATGGAAGTACCAGGCAAAAAATATGTGGAATCAGGAACTTGAAAGATCACCCTGATTTCGGATAATGGTGCCAACCCTCAAAGGAATCGGATTTAGTATCTCCACCCCAAACAACAGCTTCTCTAGCGATTGTATTGAGTTAGTCCACCAATTTTAGTTGAGAGAGCTACTTCTAGTCGTCTGCTCCTCATAAAACTGTGCCGTCTTTGCCTCTCAACCGAATGGTGAAGCTTGCATTAACTTTCTGCCCAAGATCGAGTTTCCCTGAATCGGCCAAACAAAGATATATTGAAAGGCTTTTGTCCCTCTCTGTCAAATCACCCCTCGGATATAGCCGCACCTTCCTGAACAGATGAAGAAACTCAACAAATGAGGATGCTGGGAAACTATCCGCTTTGGGCCCACTGACCCTCACGGCTTTAAAACGCGTTACACAGGATAGGCAGGTATGAGCAGATATGAAGTTAACATTCTTATGGAATCTTGACACTCAAGAATCAGGTCAACCATTTCTGATCTTCAGCCAAAAACGATTCAGAGTAGCAGTACTCATCCACCAAAGTTGAGAACTTTGATATCTTCCATTCATGTGTATATGATGTACCCTCTATCGGTGTGAAACATTCGCCCAAGCCCAAATTCTTGATGACGACAATCTCCACTCCAAAAACGCAGGTGTCGTCAATGAGGTATCCATTGGACGGGTCGGTAAAAGTCGCCAACGGCATAAATCTCGGAATGCCCCATTGAAACTGCATCTCGTGAAACCTCGTAGCTCTCCCTTTAACATTGACAGGGCGAAATTTATACATGAGTAACCAAAGGTTGAATTTTGCCTTTTCTCTTTGGATGGACGTTGAGGGAAATTACCTTGTTTCGTCAAGTACTGGTCGCGAATTCTGTCCAACACAAAGAACCTTACTGTCGCATTTATCTCGGAGCCAACTTTCAAAGGAGTGCTCTTGGAAATCGCCAGATATATAGACAAATGATCTCCTCCGTTTCTGCTTTTGTCTCCTTTGGGATACAGAATCAATCTCCTGCACAATGAGAGGACTTTTACATTCAGGAGCCAAACGCACAGAAGAAAGAGGAGTACCAACAATTGGTGAGTACAATGAATATATAGTTCTCAATACTTGATTAACTTCATTGCCTATCCTCAGCTTGATCAACCAGAATCAAATTCAATGTCCCCACATGAGAACGATACATGAATCCGTTCTTATACCATACGAACAATCCACGAACAAAGTCAATTTGGCGCACTCCAACACTTTGGAGCACAGATTATTTCTTTTCATGGTGAAAAGAAGATGGAAGTGTCCACGGAATTATTCTATAGAAAGAGAGACATACCACTTCTCATCTCCAGCTTCAAACTCGTTCGTCTCGTACACGTCGATGTTGTTCTTCGACAACAAAGAGAAAGACTCGATCTTGAACACATAGTGTGCCGGCGAGACCTCTCTAATCTCAGTAGTTATTCCTGCTCAGTCGAATCAAACCCAAAGATCAAACTAAACCAAAAAACCCACGAAACAAGAGAAACAAGAATGTCACACAAGTGCACGTTTGAGAAACTAAGAGGGCGACATAAGTACCATAAGCTTCTTCATCCATGTTTACATAAGACTATTTCTTTTTGAACTTGGTATATAGGATGGTCGAACGCAGTTGACGATCGTGGTATGAATGAATGTGAGTGGAAGATGTAAATATATAAGAGACAAGAAGAGAGGGGTTGATTTGATTGGCAAAACGTGAAAATATTTAGGACTAAATTGACAAAAGTCCCTTTGACCTGTCGTAAAGGGTTTTGTTTTGGTTGGGCTTGATCCGATTCGGTATACAAGTCCTTGGATTTTGTATCAATCCCGCATTGGGTGCAATGCACCGGCTGCATGACTAATCCTCCTACTCTTGGATATGCAGCACAGTGAAAAGGTTAAGAATATATTTGAAAAAAATTTCTTTTAATACGTTTTTTTATATCAATTTAGTAAGTGATAGATGTTTGAGGATGAAAATACTGAACTAACACTAATTGGTCGAACATGAGCTACGTGGAACGATTATGACATATGGCTTACCAAGTGGTAATCACGGTGAAAAAATTGAAAGACTATCGTCAGTTTTTCGTCATCGAGATGAGGGGGTCATTACTAATTGGCACCGAAGTATCTTCTTTATTTATGTTTTCTTGATAATACATTTATAGTTCGCACGGGAAAAAGATCATGGGGCCATCATGTTCTTTTTTCCGAGCCATCGTACTTTTTAGCTTTCTCAAAGTAGCTAGCTAGGAAGTACTCTAGGATAAGCAACCTTCCTTACGAAGTTCAAGTTAAATATCCTCGAGAAGATATCTTTAAACTTCTCCGTGAAGCTTTGTGGATACTAGGAATAACACTTTTCAAAATATTATAGAAATTACAGGATTGAAAATTTCAAAAAAGACTTTTTATAGTATTTCAACGGATAAGTACATCAAAAATCCTAAAACTTATCGAGAACGTGCAATTAAGTTATAGGATTTGCAAAAAGTACAATCAAATCTTAAAACTTCTCAAATTGATGCAATTAAGTTCCTATGTTAATTCCGTCCAAATTAATGGACAGAAAACTTGGCATTTTTAGACGTAATTTGTAGACATGTCGAGCTATTAGGCGCCGCATTAGAAAATAGGCCAAAAGCTTTTAACATAATCTATGGTCATATCTATTCCTGTTATGCAATTTTCGCTCAAGATTAGAAGAGTGGTAAGGATTTTCGGTCACTCCTCTGGTACTCCGTCACGGTCGTCAGGTCAGTGCCTGGCCTTCATCACGTGGTGCAGGATGTCGTTTTGATATGACAGTTGGCCTAACCGCCGGGTGGGTGGGTCAACTTGGCCGTGCATCTTGCAAGGAGGGGGGCGGAGCTACTGGCGTCATCGTCACTCCCTCCGTCGGACGGGGAGTCCTAGGCCTGGCAAAGGGAGATGGGCCTTGAGCTTGATGATGTTGGCAGCGAGAGTGCGAAGTTTTGACGCAAGTCGATGAACTGGGTTAGCCAAAATCTCAAAATAGCAAATAAAAAAGAAAAGCATAAAGAGAGGAGAAATCTGGAGTCCCCGATCCAGAAATTGCAGAAATCTCTCAAAACCCAAAATGGACCTGCATTCAAACAGTACTCATCAGCAGCAAATGGAGGTATCAAATCAAAAAGAGCAAAAGAGCAGAGCAGTGCTAAAAAAAACACAATCCACCCACTGCCAAACAAAAACTTGTTCAGCCAATAACCATTTAAAAAAAGAAAACAAACAAAATAAACAGATAAAAAGAAAAAAAAAAAAGGGGGCACGAGGAACGGAGAAGAAATCTTATGCACTAAATGAACAAGTTTTAGGACTTTATTATACTTTTATTTTCATTACAAGTTTTAGGACGTATAATGCACTTATCTCAGAAAAGAGCTGAAATCACAAAAAACTCTAAATTATACCCACTTTGACACGTATACTTTAAACTATACCCACTGTGATATCATTACGCAATTTTTTTTTGTGTTATCAAAACCCCCAAACTTGTATCAGTATCACAAAAATACCCTCCATTATAGTTCCATACAATACAGTCCTTACATAATTGACGTGGTAGCTAGCGTGGACAACAATAAGCAAATGGAACTGAAGTGGATTTGACGCAGCTTTAGTTTAGTTCAAAGCGACATCGTTTCATGAATTATGTCACACTCTTCAAATCGCCAAAAGACAATGTATACATTGTACCTTTGCTGTCGAATTTGAGAAACAATAAAGCCTAGAAGACACCGTCCAGGAGTAGCACGAAAATTTGTTCTTGCAATGAGATTATAGATATACCTTCTTCACCCAGTTGGAACTCGTTTGTCTCATTCATGCTGATGTCGTTGTTGAACATTTTAAAATTAAATCATGCATTTATCTAGAAGGTTAAGCTTTAAAATAATTGGCAATGCTCACACGATATTTTATATGGTATTAGAGCAAGAGGTCACATGTGAGGAGAGAGTGTTTGGTTATTTAAATATTAAATTACGTCATTATCTAATAATTTAAATTTTTAGAATGCTTGACACCAATCCCACAAAATTTTATTGACAACAGAGAGAAAAACTCGATCTTGAACACATGTGCCGGCGCGATGTCTCTTGTCTCCGTAGATTGGTTCAAAACCCCTATGAACACAGTGACACAACAAAAATGTCACGAGAAGTGCGTTTTTTTTTTTGTTGAGAAACTCAAAGAGGGTTTTGTGCCACCATCTTCGTCGTCCATTTCAGCAACATTTGGATTTGTTGATTCGATTTCTCTTATATGCATGGTGTGGTTCTTCAACTAGCTGCGGTATGGAAGATGCTTGATGGCTCTGATGGTCTTTGGGGGGTATTGATGAAAAAAATATAGCTCTTTCTATTCTCTCTGTACAAGATTCATCATTTGCTTCGTTCCGGGAAAATCACAGAGAGAGAACCAGGTTTGGTGCCCTTCAAAACTGTCGTCTTTCTCTGTCCTTGCTCGAAAATGCATCAACAATATTTGCCCGCCAGGAAAAAAAACAAACACTTTTAGGCTCCGTTTGTTTCGCAACATTTCCTCGTTTTCCGACGTTTGGATCGCTTAGAAAAATGAGTCAACGGAAAAGGTTTTTCTGTCGAAGCTTAAATTCGGAAAAATGATTTCCTCTTTAAAAAACGGAAATTATTTTACAAAATATGACTAAGTCTCGGCTCTTTGACCAAAAACCCTGTGCTAGGGCACAGGAACCCCAATGGTCGTTCCCACGGCCTTGGCAGTAGGGCTGGGTCCCCAGTGCCTGGGCCTGGGTCCATCAAGGCCAAGCTCGGGACTCCGATACCCTGGCCCTGGTCCATCTAGGCCGTGCCCAAGACCCCGACCACTGTACCAAGGACCCATCAAGGCCGGGTCCGGGACACCGGTGCTCGTGCCCGAGACGCCAAGCCCGGTAATATCAAGGCTAGGCCCTAATCCATCAAGGCCAGGCCTAGGATTCTTGTGCCCCGATCCATCGATGTCGGGCCCAGGCACTAATGACCGGAACTTGGCCTCGATGGACTCAAGCATGGGCGCCAAGGTCCAAGGCGTGACCTCGATGGACTCGGGTCTAAGTGCAGGGGACTTGTGTCGGGCGTTGGATTTAGAGGCTAGCCTCCATTGACCTAGGCCTGGGTGCCAGGGTCTCGGGCCTTGGTCTTACCGAGGCGTGGGCGCCGAGGAGCTGGTTTCAGCCTCTATAGATCGAGGCCGAAGTGCTAGGGAGTCGGGCATGGGCATAACAGGCAACGAGTTCTTGGGCTCAGTTTCGAAAATCCAAGACTAACGCTCGTGCTTGTGCCCAAGAGTCGAGGATCCGGGCTTGAGACTCCAGTGCCCATACCGGGTTCGAGACTCCGGTGCCCATACCGGGTTCCTTAGCTACCCATGCGCAAGACACTAGCGCTCGAATAGTGTATGTCAATTTAGAAAAATCAAATGAGATTTTCTTTACCAAGTTACGAAAAATATTTTCCAGTTTAATTTTAGGTCTCAGCTAAATACCAGAAAATATTATTATTTTCCTGAAAAGATGACTTTCCGAAAAATATTTTCCAAAACTATCACAGCTCCATTTGTTTCACAAAAAATATTTTCTTCATTTCCCAGCAGATCACTTAGGAAACTAAGTCAACAGAAAATGTTTTCATAGTCAAAGGAAAATCTATGCTTAAATTCAGGAAAATAATTTCCTCTTTAAAAAATCGGAAATTATTTTCCAAAATATGACTAAATATTGGTGATAGGACTAGAAACTCTACGTTTGGGTACAGGAACCCCAATGCTTGTTCCCGGGCTTTTGACAGTCCGCCAGGATCCATCGAGACCAAGCCCGAGTCCAAAGATATGTTGGGCCTGGAACCCCAATGCTTGAGCCCGAGTCCATAAAGGTTGTGCTCAAGACACCAGCGCTCGTGCCCGGGCCTAGGACTTTGGTATCATTGCCCAACTTCACTGAGCCTCTGCCCGGGTTCATAGAGGCCGGGCCCGAGACCCCGATGCTTGTGCCCAAATCTTTAACACCTAGACTTGGGTCCATTGAGGCCAGGCTCGGGTCCACAACGCGCGGGCCGAGACACGAGCGCTCGCGCCCACGTCCAAGCCATTGAGGTCAAGCCTATGTCCATTGATGTTGGCCCCGGGACCTCGATGCCCAAGCCCGGGTCCCCGACACCCGTGCCAAGGTCCATTAAGGCCGGGTTGGGACCCTAGAGCCCGGGTCCATCGAGGCCAAGCCTGGGTCGGTGTCCATCGAGGCTGGACAGGGGATCCTAGTGCCCATACGTGGTTCCCCGACTGCCTATACAAAAGTCATTAGCACCCGAATAATATGTCTATTTCAAAAAATCAAATAAGATTTTTCCTACCAAACGACGGAAAAAATTTTCCAATTCATTTTCAAGTTTCAGCCAAATACCAGAAAATACTTTTCATTTTCATGGAAAGTAACTTTTTGGAAAACATTTTCTAGAAATGTCATATTTTCCGTATCACAAACGGAGCCTTTCATGACCAAAAAAAAAAACCAAGCCTTTGGAAAATCGATTTTTACAAAACAAATATGATGGACCGTGTTTTTCCCCAAAGACACTCACCGAATGCGGGAACGATCCCGTATAAACACTTGCGGGCCCGTAGAATTTCCCCAATTCCCCAACTTCTAATTGTGAAGCAACTTATAGCGTTAACAGACAACAAAAATGATAAAATCTTGTTTTCTAAGCGAAACTCTACATTACACTTTATTAGCTCTTAAGCCAGGATAACAGATCATGAATTCCTGAAGATGGGTGATCCACAGTGCAACCAGCGATCATTTTGAAATAATTAGTCTTGATGCGGCTCGAGATAATTGTTTGTAATCAGATGCGGCGCATGTGACAGCAAAAGGACACCGTGAAAGGGAGCTGCAATTGGGAGTTTGTTCCCAGGAAATCTTCCTAAAGTCGGAATTGGCTGTTGATTTTGGTGAACGCGAGCTAGTAATAGAGAATCGGATCGACAATTCATCTATACTAGAGGAACTCATGAATTAAAAGAGAGCAAAGCATCGATCAACTATTAGCTAAAATAAGCAGTTCGACAAGTTTTACTGGCTTAAAACTACTAGTAGTACGCGGAGGAAACAATGGTAGGAACCGCCGCCTTGTCCTGAGCTCAAACCCAATTATCAGGGCAGTTGTCTGGCTGTGCCAAGGATGGTGACTTTGACCTCAATGACACAGTGATCGTCCACAAGGGAATCTTGAATCTTGTTCAGCGATGCATAACTAAGCCAACCCCACGAAGTGCTCGAACGACTGAACCAACACGAACCTGCAAAGCGAACATTGATAGCCACGTTAAGACAAATGTATGGAAGTACCAGGCGAAGAATATGTGGAATCAGGAACTTGAAAGATCACCCTGATTTCAGATAATGGTGCCAACCCTCAGAGGAATCGGATTTAGTATCTCCACCCCAAACAACAGCTTCTCTAGGGATTGTATTGAGTTAGTCCACCAATTTTAGTTCAGAGAATTACCTTTACTCGTCATCGCCCCATAAACAGTGCCATCTTCGCCTCTCAACCAAATGGTGAAGCTTGCGTTAACTTTCTGCCCAAGATCGAGTTTCCCTGAATCGGCCAAACAAAGATATATTGAAAGGCTTTTGTCCCTCTCTGTCGAATCACCCCTCGGATATAGCCGCACCTTCCTGAACAGATGAAGAAACTTAACAAATGAGGATGCTGGGAAACGCGGAGAGAAAGGTATGAGCAGATATGAAGTTAACATTCTTATGGAATTTTAACACTCAAGAATCGGGTCAACCATTTCTGATCTCCAGCAAAAAATGATTCAGAGTAGGACTCATCCACCAAAGTCGAGAACTTTGATATATTCCATTCATGTGTACATGATGTACCCTCTATCGGTGTGAAACATTCGCCCAAGCCCGAATTCTTGATGACGACAATCTCCACTCCAAAAACGCAGGTGTCGTCAATGAGGTATCCATTGGATGGGTCGGTGAAAGTCGCCAACGGCATAAATCTCGGAATGCCCCATTGAGACTGCATCACGTGAAACCTTGTAGCTCTCCCTTTAACATCGAAAGGGCGAAATTTATACATGAGTAACCAAAGGTTGAATTTTGCCTTTTCTCTTTGGATGGACGTTGAGGGAAATTACCTTGTTTCGTCAAGTACTGGTCGCGAATTCTGTCCAACACAAAGAACCTTACTGTCGCATTTATCTCGGAGCCAACTTTCAAAGGAGTGCTCTTGGAAATCGCCAGATATATAGACAAATGATCTCCTCCGTTTCTGCTTTTGTCTCCTTTGGGATACAGAATCAATCTCCTGCACAATGAGAGGACTTTACATTCAGGAGCCAAACGCACAGAAGAAAGAGGAGTACCAAAAATTGGTGAGTACAATGAATATATAGTTCTAGATACTTGATTGACTTCATTGCCTAACCTCAGCTTGATCAACCAGAATAAAATTCAATGTCCTCACATGAGAGCGATACATGAATCCATTCTTATACTATACGAGCAATCCACGAACAAAGTCAATTTGGCGTACTCCAACACTTTGCAGCACAGATTATTTCTTTTCATGGTGAAAAGAAGATGGGAGTCTCTACGGAATTATTCTATAGTAAGAGAGACATACCACTTCTGATCTCCAGCTTCAAACTCGTTCGTCTCATACACGTCGATGTTGTTCTTCGACAACAAAGAGAAAGACTCGATCTTGAACACATATTGTGCCGGCGGGACCTCTCTAATCTCTGTAGTTATTCCTGCTCAGTCGAATAAAGCCCAAAGATCAAACAAAACCAAAAAAACCCGCGAAACAAGAGAAACAAGAATGTCACACAAGTGCACGTTTGAGAAACTAAGAGGGCGACATAAGTACCATAAGCTTCTTCATCCATGTTTACATAAGACTGTTTCTTTTTGAACTTGGTATATAGGATGGTCGAATGCAGTTGACGATCGTGGTATGAATGAATGTGAGTGGAAGATGTACATATAGAAGAGACGACATGCCCCCTTAGGGCAAACTCATCAGTTAAGAAGGCAAGAGATTAGGATGGTGTAAGATATAGGGATGGGCCTTGTTTCCCTTATTTACTTTTCAAATTTAGGAAGGTGATTGTTTTGTTATTTTCCCTAACTAGAATCGGATTTTTCATTATGTTTTTGCTTTGAAATTTTGTGTACCAATTGCGTGGCCCGCACTTTGCGCAGGCAATAAGCGTATTTTATAAGTTGAATTTCAAAAAATAAATTAAAGCTGATGGACTTCTCACTTATCTGTTTTGTATAAGTTAATTTCAAATTAAACGGGCTTTAAGTAAGATTATTTTCATTTGTATTTTTTCTTCTAAATGGATTTTTCTTGAAATGATTTATGATATATTTAAAATAAGAGAATCTCAAAAGTAGAAAATATAATTTAATGAGATGTAATATGTGATTTCAAATAAGTAATAATTATATTTTCTTAATTTTTTTCGGAATTAAATAAACAGTATCCTTCATTCATTCTTAGTAAAATATATATGATGGAATTAGAAAAATCATATCGTGTAAATTCAATCTTATCTTTTTTCAACTCAATTTCGAATTAAGTGGAGTTTAGATAAACTTATTCATTACCATCTAAATAAATTTGTTTTAAATTAGATATGCTATATTTAAATAAGTCAACTACGAAAGAAGAAAATAAAAATAAATGAAATTTAAATATGTATAATACAAAAAAATTATAATTTGATTTTCTTAGAGTTTGTTGAATTGAATGAACGGTATCTCTTATTTCACTCCTGGTTAAATAGTTTTCTTAAAGGTTTTATAAATTAAATTAACAATATCATTTGTTTCCTTCGTAGTTAAATAATTTCGGTTGCATTAAAGAAAATATATCATTGAAAAATCATATTATTCATGAATTACTTTATTCTTAGTATGATAGATATTGTTAATTGAAATAAATCAGATTGCTTATTACATTCATAGCCGCAAAGATTTGGTTGAATCAAATAAAATAACATCATATAAGATACTTTCTTTTCAATACATATGTTTATACATAAATCAAATTCCAGATCAGAAAATGTGGATGAACTGTAACCGTTTTAATACACGTAGTTCTAATTGCAATATCGAACTATAAAAATGTTACGATTCTTTCTTCTCTTGAGCACAATTCAAGGGCATTAATGGTTTAATTCAAGTCGAACCTCATTAATATTTAATCCTCCAATAATTCTCTTGACATTTCATATGTCTACGCCTGTCAAGGGTGTCAAAACAAATAGAGGAGTCTTCCATTTATAGAGAGGAAGAGATCCTCGTACTTGAACTCAATAGGCATTTTTGATAAATTAATATTCGATCTATTTCAAACGAAAATCATGTGCATTTTTTGCTAAACAAATTTGCTTGAGATGACATATGCTGCATTTAAAATAAGTGAATTTTTAGAAGAAAAAGAAAATAATTTAAACTAAATGAAATGTGAAGATGCGTGTCTCAACTAAGTTGCAATATTTGTAATTTTATTTTAGTGTTTTAAATTTAGTTAATACTAAGTGACATTTATTCAAATAATAATAAAATTTATCCTTCTAATTGCTTTGATTAATTTTTAAATTGAATGAATATATAATGTGTCGATTCCCATAGATAACAAAAAAAATTCTTCAAATTAGATTATTACTCGAGTAATAAGATATACTTTTCCTTTTTTACTTTATTTCAAACTTAATGGATAAACTGTATATTTGAAGATACTTTATCTATATCTGTTCCCTGTTTTTGTTTCAAATTTAAAATCACGGAGATTAGTCGAAAAATATTTTATTATTTATTTCATTGGTGGTATGCGAGGATACTTTCTTTAAATTCGTTTTTAAATTTAAATCTAATAAGTGATAGAAGTTTGAGGATGAAAATGCTAAATTAATGCTAATTGGTTGAATATGAGCCATGTGGAACAATTATGACCTATGTCTTGCCACATTACAATCACAGAGGTAAAGTTAAGTTCCATGTGTCGAGCGAGCAAACATTCTATTAGTTCCGACGTTAACTATAGATATGGGGAGTAGGACCCCTGCTGACTACTTAAAAAGCTTAAGATCACGCTTAGTCCGGTCATTTTGTCTAGTACTAAGTGTGAAAAAAATATTTAATTAGGGAGACAAATGGGACACGGAAAAATTCGAACTCAAGACCGCCAGCTCTGATATCATGTGAAATTTGATGGAACCACAACAAACTTTTTAAAAAGAATAAAATGATAGATAGAAGGAGATCGCATGAATATAAAGAATATTTAGGACAATACTTCAACACCCCCTTTCATGTGCAAATCGGATTATGAGAGGCCCGTGAAATTTTGACCACGGCACATGGAATTTCACTGATGGGGGGTGGACGCACAATCACGAAATAGATAGCATGGGCTTTGATACTTCAACAGGGAGAATCACTAATTAGCATGAGACCGTCTTCTTTATTCATGTTTCCTTGCAAAATACATTTAAGATATGTTTATTTATTTAAAAAAAAATTTAAAAAAAAAAAATAAATTTTTTTTTCTTTGGGGGGGAAAAAAAGATTTTGCAAGAAAAAAAACCAAATCTTCTTGTTTTGGAAATTTTCAACAGGGAGAATCACTAATTAGCATGAGACCGTCTTCTTTATTCATGTTTCCTTGCAAAATACATTTAGTTTGTGGGGGAAAAGAATTACGGGGCCATCGTGTTCTTTTTTTCTGCCGTGGATTGGTTAGCTTTCTCAGAGTAGCAAGGAAGTATTCTAGAACAATTACCCCTCCTTAGAAAAATTATGAAAAATTTCCTCAAGAAGTTACCTTTAAACTTCTCCATGGAGTTGTCCTATAATACTCGAGAAATTAGAAACAACACTTTTCAAAATATTCTAGTAACTAGAGGATTATAATTTTAACATGGTCGCTTATCAATTCCAATTGAGATTTTGAATAAGGCTTAACAAGTGCCCCAGAGTACTTTCCAACTTTTACATTTAAAAATCGAGAACCGTTTTGAAAATCTTGTGAACCTGTTCTGACTCTTTAGGATGAGAACTGGATTCTTGTTTACAAACTCAGTATCTAATGCTTTTTCCCTGTCGATCGTATAAAAGCTCTACCTACTTGAATTGTAGATCCGCAAATGTAGTAACGAAGACTCAGTTAGTCATTTTGGTTCTAAAAGTGACACCGACTTTCAGGCTTTGAATCTGAAGGGTAAAGCAAAAAGAACTATACAGGCAAAACGACTGAGCAGCTTTTTAAGTTTTGACTGCAACGCAACGCAAGAAAGCATAGACATATATAAGCATGGCAATCGCAATCCTTGAGAGGTGAGGCGGACAAAAGAGTTTGCAGTTATATTGCCCACCTTGCCTTTCTAGTTAAAAGAGGATCCCCAACCTTTGGCGATCAAACTCTATCGAAATAGACTAATTAACCCAGAAGTTATCCAACAAGGGAGGTCCAAACTTAAGAGATAATAAAACATGCTCGACCCACGGAAGAAACATTAGTTAGTGATCGATCATGAACTCGGCAACAAATCATGGCAGTTTACTCACTGTGCCAAGAACTTTCACTTCAGCCTCCACGACACACACGTCACCAACTAAGTAATCTTGAACAGTTTTCAGCGGCAAAAAGGACTCCCAACCCCTCTTTAATTTGACCATCGAACCAATCGGGACCTGCAAAAGAAGAATTAGCTTGTATTAATCTTAAACTCGAGAAGAATGGTGGCAAACCAAATAAATCAGATTAAATACTTAGTATATGGTGTGATTATGCCACAGCGAGAAAGCGGGATAAGAACTATAGCATGTTTCATAATAATGATATTCCAGTTATCTTTCCATTCATTTTGATATAATTACGCTTAGCTAAAGATTTTGTGATCACCATCCATTCTAGATCAGAAGTTACCTGGTGTCGTCATCTGATGCGTCCTGCCAGCGTTCTTTTTTAACCGAGTGGTATAAGTGACTTCGACTTTCTGATCACCTGAATCTATTAAACAAAGATACACCGAAAGGTTTTTGTCCCAGTTATGCATGTCACCCCTTGGATGCAGATGTAACTTCCTGAACATAAGGAGAAACACAACCAAGCAATGATAAAAAAATCAGAAAAAAGGAATATGCAAAAGCAAAAAAAAGCTACGGGTAGTATGAGAGCTACCAGTTGTGAATACTTCAGAGCAGCAATCATTCACCAAAGTAGAGAAGTTTGATATCTTCCATTCGTGACTAACAGACTTCGGACTCGCTTTCAGTGTCGAGCATTCACCCAGACCTAAACATTTGACAACAGAAACCTCCACCCCGAACACACATGTGTCATCAACAAGGTAGCTGTTTGACGGATCGACAAAAGTTTTTAGCGGCATAAATCTTGGAATGCCCCATTTGGACTTCATTATATGAAACCTCCTGGTTTTTCGCTGCAACATATAAAGTGAGAGTTCTCCAAGCAACCAAAGGTGTAAATCACTTTTCCTTTAAAAAAATTTCGGGAACAGAACGTACCTTCTTTTACCAAGTATTCATCGTGAATTTGATCAAACACAAAGAATGTAACAGTTGCATTTGTCTCCCAGCCAACTTTCAAAGGATTGCCTCAGAAACAGCCAGATATAGGGATACGTGATCTTCTCCCTTCTTGCTCTTGTCTCCATTAGGATAGAGGATCAATCTCCTATACAATGACAAAACATCAGAATCGAGAAACATATACCTATGAAGAGCTTCCGTTGTTAGCTGATTTGCCCATTAAAAGATCTTCAATTTTGAGACCTTTGAGCAAACTTTCTGTCCTCACCGAACACAATTGGAGCCTGTTTCTTTCAACGAAGGACCGCATCACTATGCATAATTAGCAATCGTGTAGTTACAGATAATCGCATGAAATTTACCAATAATTATCACGCCCCGAACCCCAACGGGCTCGCGACATCCCTTCCACGGTCGTATTGAACGCGACGTCCCAGGACGCGTCGCCGACCCAAACGAATTACGCAAGCGGAAGCGAAATAAAACAATCCGGACAATTAATAATAACAAGGGGTAGCAATAACACGAAACAATAATTCAAATACACAACATCAAAAGGAACAGTGGTGGGATATCCTACTTCGCTAACAAAATATGAGGTAACTTGACCCGTCCTCCATCCCCGAGATAACCTGGTGGCGTCTCCAATCAATCACGGTCGCGGATCGAAAATGATTATATAATAACCGTGAGAACGAGTCTCAATAAGCAACCCCTATTCCCCCACATAGGTCAATGCGTACCCGGACAAGTCGTACATGCAATATACCCCATAACATATAAAATAAAATCGCATCCTTATACTTACCTCACCATCGAACCCATGCTAACACTGCATGTTAGTCATAACATGGTAATGCAGTAATAGTAACTAAATAGCACCTCGCAATTGCTCAAACGCCAACCACACTTGCACGCAATTCATCTTACTAATTTGACCACACATTCAACCAGCCAATTCAATCACATGCTCAACCAGCCAATTCAATCACACTCAAATCGTATGCGTGGCCGAACATCTTTCTCATGACCCGCGCCCCTGCGCCTCGGGTCCATTCTCCGCCGCGCTACCGCGCCTCGGGCCCATTTGGCACACCGGCCATTCATGCTTTCACACGGACCGCCGTCAACACGTCCCAAGTCCATAGCCCTCCGATCAATCCGGGCTCAATTCTAATGACCGACGTAAACACGTCCCGGTCCAACACACCTTTAACGAGCCACCGTCAACACGTCTCAAGCCCACATCCATTTGGCACACCGGCCATTCATGCCTTCACACGGACCGCCGCCAACACGTCCCAAGTCCGTAGCCCTCCGATCAATCCGGGCTTGTCTCATGCACATGCACCACAACACAATTCGAAATTCTCACAAGTCGTACCAATCAAACTCAAGGCATGCTCACCACAATATTCCACCAACCCGACCTTCAAGTCGGTCACATTCACTATCAATTCCACTCACAACCGCCACGATAAGCCAATCATTGACTCACCACAATAGCCACAAATATGCACCCACAATCATCCCAATTTTAAATCACAAGCTCACGATTCCGACATTCAAGTCAACACATTCAATTAATCCAATTCACCCAGCGTCACGACAATTCAGTCATGCTATTTACCTCGATCTCAATCACTAAATTAGCCACACAATTACCGCCACAATAATTCACAAATTGAGCACAATCAGTCAAATTAGCCTCACGCCTAATTTAACTCATAACCCTAGTATCAAGCACGTCCTAAACAAGTCTAAAAATACCCATAGTCCTAAATAATGAATAGGAGGTCACTTGCTAGGTTTTTGGCCCGGGAAAAATCGGCTATGGCCCGAAATGGCCCGGTCGGAACGGCGGTGTCTCGACGCGGCCGAGGGCGCGACGAGCGCGGGGCTCGGCCATGGGCTCGGCCACGGGCAAAATTCTCGGTCACGGCTGGGCACGGGCAAGCGCGGGCACGGGCGCGGGCAAACGGCCGGGACGCGTGGGCAACGGGCTCGGCCATGGCCCGGGCAGCGGCTGGTCAGTGGCCTGGGCGCCTTGGCCACGGGCTGGATTGGGCTGGTTGGCCGGCGACGGCACGGCCGGGGGCGAAGACGGCGCCGGCTGGGCGACGGCGGCGACGAGCTCGGCGACGGCGACACGCGGAGGGGAGAGGGAAGTCGGCCGGAGTGGTGGTGGCGAGAGAGAGGAGAGAGAGAGAGCTGGGGATGGCGAGCCTCGGGTCGGCGGCGACGGGGCGGCACGGCGGCTGCTGCTGGCGACGCAGGGCCGGCCGGCAAGCGGCTGAGCAGCACCGGCGAGCTGCACGCGCGGTCGCGAGCTATCTGGCTGGGGCGACGGCAACGTGCGACTGGGCAGGGCTGGGGCGACGGTGACCCGCGACAGCGGTAGCGAGCTGGACGGCGGAGTTGGGCTGATCGGCGAACTGAGCAGCACCGGGTCACGATGAACACGGCGCGAGGGGGCTGGTCGGTGGAGGGGAGGCCCGGCGAGGCAGCGGTGGCAGGGCGGAGACGGGCAGCTGGGCGGTGCGCGGAGCCTGACGGCCGAACGGCGACGCGGCGGCCCGACGAGCAGCGGCGGCGCGCGGCGAGGCGGTCCAGTCGGCAAGCAGGTCGGGCAGCAGAAGAAGAAGAATCAGAAGCCATGGCGTCGGGGAAGAGAAGGAAGAGAAGAAGAAGAAGAAAAAGAGAAAAAGGAAGAGAGAGAGAGAGAAGAGGAGGAGAGAGAGTCTGACAGAGGAGGGGAAAAACGCGTGCACAGAAGCAACGCGGCAGAGAGGAGAGAGGAGAGAGAGAGGGGGGCCATCGTGCTCGGCAGAGGGGGAGGAGAGAGAGAAAGAAAGAGGGAGGGAGAGGGAGAGAGAAAGAGAAAGAGAGAGAAAAACATAAACTTCGTTCAAATAATTATTGCGATTCAATGCCGATATTTAAAATCGAAAATGCTCTAGCGGTTTAAATTAATCCTAAAATATAATAAGGGACAAAGGTCAAATTAATTAAATCAAATTATTTCGAGAGAGATTTATTAGTATAAATTCGCACTCAATTAAAAATTCACTTTTCACATATTCCAGGTAATCTCATTCTAGCGAAATCTCAATTTTAAAATAATAACCGGGAGTGATCAGTTCCCGGGCGAGATTTTTACTATAAGCATACTGACGAATTACACGTTTTATAAATCCCAACTATGGGCCGAAATTCGAGATGTCACAATAATCGCATGAAACAACCCACCTTAACCCCATTATTTGGATACCCGCATACACTAGATTCATCTGAGCCTCCTAAAATGTCGATTCGATCAGAAAGAACAACACAACCTAAAAGACACCCTCAAGCCTTTTTCTGACATTATATATACCCTAATCTTCACTGTCAATGTTAAGAAACAATAAAACCCAGAAGACAGCGAGCATGGAGTAACACAAGAATTTGTGCTTGCAAAAAGAGATTATAGATATACCACTTCTGGTCGCCCACTTCGAACTCGTTTGTCTCATACATGGTGATGTCATCGTTTGATAATAGAGAGAAAGACTCGATCTTGAGCACATAATGCGCCGGCGAGATCTCTCTAGTCTCCGTTGTTATCTCTGCTCAGTTAAGACCCCGCAAAATCACAAACAGTGAAACAACAATAACCCCAGAAAGGGATAAAGAGATCAACTGAAGAAGACCAATAGACGCATCGTCAAGCCATAAAATTCCACGAGTTCATTTTTATTCTTTTGTTTTTGGGAGATACTCAAAGAGGGAAATGGTACCATCATGTTCGTCGCCCACTGCAGCAGCCTTTGAATTCGTTGCTTCTCTTTTTCTCTTTGGCATTGTATAATTCTTCAAGTAGCTACAGTACAGATGATGCTTGATGATCCTGATGGTCCTTAGTGGTGTGAGAGAAATGGAAGAAAAAAGACCGCTTTTTTTTGGTTTCCCCAAATCAGTCGCTTCGTTCCGAGGAAATCATCATTGACGAGGCAGAGAGAGAACTGAAACTGTGGTTTGGATCGATTCATGTTCAAAGTTCTCTTCTTTTGTCTGTGCTGATTCTCATATTATTCTATCACAATTTAAGTGGCGAATTCTATCTTAAAAAACCTCTAACTTTAACTCTCATGTCATTTGTACCTTTTATTTTATAAAAAACCTTCAACTTTAGGTTATATCCTAATTCTACCCTAAACTTTTTTTGTCTCATAAAAAACCCTCAACTTTAGATCCAGTATCAATTTTATTCTAAACTTTTTTTGTCTTATAAAAAAATCTCAGCTTTAGGTCAAGTTTCAATTTCACTCTAATTTTTTTGTCTCATAAAAGATCATCAACTTCTACTTGAGCCCAAAATCTCTCTCCATTAATCCTCCATCAAAATCGCTCTTAGTGACTTTACGCTCATCAATCTCATGCTTTGGAATGTTCCATCTCTCACGATCAAAGAGCTCACGCTCCGGACACTCGAACAGCTCGTGCTTGGGAGTTTTCTATCTCTCGGTTGTCAACGAGAAATTTTGGACGAA